CTGCCCTACGGCGGAGCCTCGTCCGGGTTCTTTTCTGCCCGAAGGCAGAGAATTCAACGGTTTAGCTGGAACAGGACGCAGCTAGTGATATTTAGCTACCCCCCACCAAGAAGGTTACATGTGGCACAAGGCCGGGTTTAACGTGGGATCCCCGAGCCCGTAGGCCCGGCCAAAAATATTTCCTATTTGAACGCGTATAAACGGGTTCTGAGTTAGTCTACCTCCCCGAACGAGACTCTGCCCTTCGGCGGAGCCTCGTCCGGGTTCCGAAGGCAGAGAGTTCGACTTTTTAGCTGGAACAGGTTGCAGCTAGTCTCTGTAGTCCGTTGACTTACAGATACTTATAACCAGTTACTACCTATAGTGTAGTCATTCATTGGAGTGACAAGTTATTCCATTACATCACTGAAACCAAGTAGCGTTTCTGATATGCCTTTTATCTTTCTGCGCGATCAAAATGAAATAATTCATTAATTATGAGTTATTAGCAGGGAGCAAAGTTCATGTGAGTTAAGGAACTAACAAAGCGGAGGGCAAGCATAATTATTATTTGATTATTTTGTAGATCCTGTCACTATGGATACGGTTAATGAGGGTCGTTGTGTAGGTCATGTCTCTTTTCTGGCTTTTCTTCTTTTTTTTCATCAACTTTATAAGAATTTTTAACGGAACAACGTTAAATGAGGACCAATTGGATTTGTGTTAATAATCATAGTATTGTTTCCAAATTTTCTGCTGGCCGGTATACGCGTTGAGAGATAAACACGTGTGTCTCCTGAAATACCCACAACAAATATGGTAGACTCAGGATGAGTCCACGTAAAGAAACAAGAACTGATATATATGTACAAACAAATGATAATCTATTAACAATAAAGGATTATAAATGACAAAAGACAATAATGTGTGTGGCAAAGGAATGTGGAAACGTTATGGTCCAAAGTATATGAAGGAGTGAATGTGTGTACGTACGTGTGTGTATATGTATTGTTCATGTGTTTCCCAAAAGAGAAACGCGTTATAATTGTGTCCTTCCTCGAGAAATTTACATGTTGACGTCTATGCGGAAAATTATTAAAAGAATAATTATCGCAGAGTATTTATAGTACTGGAGAGCGTCGCCTAGGAGAAGTTTCGAAAATCAAGAGAAGGTAATCCGATAGTACATTAACAAGAAACGTATACATTTTAATTAGTTTTTTAAAGCAAGGGAACTAATTCACCAATAGTCATATTGGTGAATGTGACAAATTAATTTAATACTGTTATTCTCAGACGACGCAAGAATCTCTTCTCTTTCCTGATCCTCTCTTCATCGTTCAAAGAAAAACAGTTTGACTATCGGGGAAACATAATCAGTTGCGGACCACCGGCAATGATAAAAGGCGTGTTCAACCTGTTAAAAAAAAAACACGCTGTAAACAAATAATAATTCTTTTGCTTTGTTATTTTTCCCCGCCTTTTCAAGTGCTCCATAAGTGAAGATGAAATACAAGTCGACGTGCCTTTTCTTTTTTTAATGGTGTTAGGGTCTCTGCTAATATAACAATGCAGTAATATAAACAGAATTCATCCAACTTGAGCAGTTATATTTGGCACCAACAAAATGGATGCCTTTTTTTTCCGAAATGAAGACAGAAATAGCTACCCACTGTTTTAAAATATTTACCAAAAATCAGGGAATTATCCGATTCAAATGAAAATTTCAGTACTTTTTCATTAATGAATTTTTATTAGAAGACCTTATAGAAATATTTTTTGCGGGTCTGTTTTCCCCATCTTTTTCGATAACTTGTGAGTACTTTTTAATTGGTGGGTATGGGGCCATGAAATTCTTTTAGAGTTATATAAAAAAAATTCTTAAGAAGTTACTTCAAAGAAAACTTCATGCAATATCTGACAAACAAAATTAACAATTAAAAACAAATGAAAACTACTGATAAAGTTCATTTTCTTCAGACATAGTCATTCCCTCCTGTAGTTTACTGCTACTAACAAGCAGGGATTTTTTTCTCCTGATGATGGCCATGCTGGCCGAAACTAATCGAGGAACCTAATTGAAATAATAAAACAAAAATATATTAATATACAACGCACTATGTCTGAAAGTTTTAATGTTGTAATGTTCAAAAACACACACACACTCATATATATATATATATATATATATATATATATATATATATGCACACACACAGAGGGTGATTAAAAAGTAAGTCCTTATTTTATGTATGATGGACTCTCCCGGCTTATAAGAATTATAGTCAGACGAGTGAGTCTGTCATATATAAAATAAGGAATTATTTTTTAATCAGCTTGGATAGGTATGTATAGAGATTTTCTAAGGGAACCTCGGCGTGGTGTAATGGTTACAAGCTTGTCTCGCTAAAGCAGTTACGACTGGAGAGTGAGTTCGATCCTCAATGGGTGCCCGATACTTTCGGCCTTGTGCCGTATTTTAGCTACGCTTAGAAAATCAGTATAGTGATCTTCCATGTGTAGCTTAGATGTGGTACAAGGCCGAAAGTATAGAGCACCCAGTGAGAATCGAACTCACTACTCAGTAGTAAATGTTTCTACGAGACAAGCTCGATGTACCCCCTGTTTATCTATATATATAAATTGCGTATATTTTGGCAGCATGTTTTCATTGAGACATGTTTCATATTATAATTTAGACAAGTTTTATCTACTTATTTTTATTTGGATCCTTCCATATTCACGGACAAGTTTTTTGGTGTCATTATTGAAGGAAGAGAGAAAATCGCCGTGTTGATACATATACTTTTATCCCGAGTACTTTCGACATAGCACAATGTTATCATCAGGGTGTTGTTTATTTGGAGACAAATATTGCAGTGTTCATCATTTTCAAAGACAAAATTACTGTGTTCATCTGAAGTTTTTTTTTTTTTACTTGTGAAGTGAAGAACGCTGAGTGAGTATTGTGATTGTTTTGACTGACGTTTCAGGGGAGATAACTAAGTATGGTGTGTCGAGAGTTTTTAAGAAATAAGTATTAAAACTATTAATGCAAGCCTTGATATTTTAAACTATCTACTGTACATATTTTGAAACATTTGTGCCATATTCATAATTAATTTTGTTTAAGTTTGGTTTCAATTTTTTAATATAGATAGCGTATTATTTTCATGAATAATATCGATGTATTTTCAACAAGAATTTTTCTGAATTGCGAATGTGGACAGATATGCTGTTGTAAATGTTTAGAAATGTTGGACATATCATTCAAAGAAAAACTCAATCGTCAAAACAATGTTGTCGTAGTGTGTTCAACATAAATATTATGTTTTCCGTTGGAGATACAATCTCCCAGAAGACATTTAAATTTATAAACAATGTTAGTTTTCTGCAGCACATGAGTTGGTGGGTCGTTACGAATGATTGAATTAGATATACTAGATTTAGTGTAGCATATAATTATTATTTTTTTTTTTTTACTAAATCTAGCATATCTAATTCAATCATGTCTAGTAGGGATTTTTATCTTGTCCTTTGTACGACCAACTGTCGCAGCGGGAAGTCGCAAGGTTTTGATTTTATGGCTCGCCTATTTGAGAATGTATACTTTGTATTACATAGATGCAAGTTATAGTCTTTAAGAATGGATTCAAAGAAAGATGGCTATGTAATGTCATGTTTTAGACATGTGTTTATAGTTAGTAATAATGTTATTTGATCAACATTTTATAATGCCCCATTCAGCCCATTGGATGTCAGAGGGGATGCATCTTCCTCTTAAGAAATATATTTCATTCAACAAACCACCTTTAAAATCTAAATGAATTGAATAAAAAATTTTTTTTGTTATATTTTTGGTTAAGACCAAACATGGATTATGCCAGAAATTATCTGTTATGATAAAAATTGGTTATGACTAAACATTGTTTGTGACTAAACATTTCTTATGACAAAAATTATTTTTTGTTATGTTATTGGTTATGAATAAACATTGGTTATGACCAAACATCGGTTATGACAAAAATTATTTATGATTAAAATTGGTTATGATTAAACATTGGTTATGACTAAAATTGGTTATAACTAAACATTGGTTATGACTAAACATCGGTTATGACAAAAATTATTTATGAAAAAATTATTTGTTATGACTAAAAATTGGTTATGACTAAACATTGGTTATGACTAAACATCGGTTATGACAAAAATTATTTGTTATGACTAAACATTGGTTATGACTAAACATTGGTTATGAAAAAAAATATTTGTTATGACTAAAAATTGGTTATGACTAAACATTGGTTATGACTAAACATCGGTTATGACAAAAATTATTTGTTATGACTAAACATTGGTTATGACTAAACATTGGTTATGGCTAAACATTGGTTATGAAAAAAATTATTTGTTATGACTAAAAATTGGTTATGACTAAACATTGATTGTAACAAAAAATATTGGTTATGATTAAACATTGTTATGACTAAACATCGCTTATGAATAAAATTATTAGTTATGAGTAAATTTATTGGTTATGACTAAATATTGCTTATGACTAAAACTCTTGGGCGTAAGACGATAAACTACATCCAGCAGCAAGGCCTCTGATCAGGAGGTTTTGAGGAGCGTTGAACCACCTCTTAATTGCTGGTGTTCCCAGGTCCAACCTGACTCGAGGTGATAGCACCTGTCAAGGTCCCAGCTATGGTCAAATAGTTGATCCCCAAACTGAGGTCAAAGAACAAATGTTTAAAAATATGTTTTAATACGAGCAACACAATTTTGTAAATGGTTATTAGCAGCAATGGATTTTTGAAGAAAAATATATTACCAGCAATACATTTTTTGGAAGAAAATATTACCAACAACAAAAGTCTTATCGACATTAAATAACCCATTGAGATTGATATGCCGTAAACGAAACCAAACCAAACTAAAACTCTTGGTTATGACTAGGCAATGATTATGACTAAAATTGTTCTATTCGAAAACTCAGTTTTTAGTTTTAAGGTTGATCATTAGCACTTACCTTCACTTTGATTCCCTCTCACGTGTCTAAGCGTATCAAGGTGTTCATCGCTTCGTTCTCGATCAAATTCTGCAAATATTCTTTCCATATTGGATTTCCAGCCTGCTTCATCGTCATACTCGTAATCTTCGTCGTCAGCTTCGCCATTATTCTCTTCACCATAGCCCATATCGACTTTGGCCTCGTCCCCATCGCCATTTTCTTCATTATCTACTTCGCTTTCCGGCCTCGTTCGCTTCAGCGTCCTATCATTGTTTGCGTTGCACATCGTAACTGAACACGGTTCCGATCGGCTTGAATTCTTTCCGTGGGGACCGGTGCTTGCAGACTCTTTCTGCGAGTGATTTCTTAAATTACTTTCATCGGAACAACGAGATCGCGAGGAAGGCGAAATCTTCACATTTTCCGTCTGCTTTAAATCATCACCAAGCTCAACTCGACTAGAACTCTGTTTGGAGCTCTCATTCACTCTCCCTCGTCTGTCCGTGTTGATTGATTGCGTTGACAAGTTAAAAGTTCTCTTGTTTCCATCAACGAGCCTCGACTGGGTCGTGATATTTCTTCGCTTAACTTCCATTTCAAGACGCGAACTCTGACCAGCAACGGTTCCGACTTGCTTGTTTCGATTACCGCCGATTCCCATTTGTTGGTTCCGCGTTCTGGGTGACGTGGAAGTATTGGCTCGTTTAACGCCGGTTTCATTTTGCGTCTTGTCACGACTACATTCACCTTTTCTTTTGCAATCGAACAGCTTTGTTCGACCTCTCCTGTCACCCGTAGAATTGATTTTCAACCGATCCCGTCTCTTCTCGCCCCTCGACGCTGCGCCTGATCGCTGAGGTGAAGTTTTCCTATGTGTGTTTCGGTTTTTTTTCCTGCGCCGCCCCGGAAGACGGACGCGATACTTCGGTCGTCCGGATTTTTTCTTCGGGTTTTGATCGGTCCCATTTCTAGCTTCTGGCCGGTCGTTCTCATCGTTCCCGATTCGACCGTTTCCAAGTAGTTTCGACAATAATTGGTGGATCTGCTTTCGGTAATGCTTTCGGATTTTCGTTCTACCCGAGGTCTTCCGCCCACCTGGGGATCTAGGGGTCGTCAAATGAAATGTCTCGTTTAAAGTGTACGTAGTTTGCACGGTTGATATTTTGGGGGACAGATACACCCCGTCCACTTCGCTTGTATTGCTAACCTGAAATAAATAAGAAAAAAACATCAATAAAATTTAAAAAAACAAACAAGGAAATCACTCTCCCATAATGATGTAATGAAATAACCGGCCACCCTCATGAATGACTACACTATAAGTAATAACTACCTATAAGTATCTGTAAGTCAACGGATTACAGAGTCTACCTGGGATCAGTATCTGTCTATATTTCTGAGATGAGGTATTATGTATAGGACCCAAAGAGTGTGAGTTCAATACCCGGTTAAGGCAGTGGAGAACTTGGAGAGGGTAATTAACAAGAGATACCTGATAACTGGTATCCATTAAACATGGCACGTGGAACTAGAACAGTCTACACTAGTGAGCGAAATAAAGGGTTCAATTCGACATTCCAACTACCTGAAGAAGGTCGGAGCCTACAACGGCCAAAACGTTGTAATAAATATGGTGGCAAAGATGAGTCCGAATAATGTAAATAATCTAGCTGGGACCTGTTGAGTACGACTCAGACTTACGCAAGAACTACCAACCTTCCAATAGTAGCACTCACTACTGGATTGACTTGCGACCTTTATTCTTATTGGTTTTTACAATAAACCTTTATTTATTTTATCCACCGTGTTTTCAAGTATATATTCCTATTAGCACGGAAGATAACACATAACTAATTTACTTGCTCAAGTAGTAGCAATCAAATGCTATTACTATTAATGTTATTAAATAAGTTATGTTTGACAGTATTTCATTCAAGAGAGACGGTGGCAGAGCACTTGGCCAAACCATTTCGCCTTAACTATTATATCTGGTTAGGCTGTAGTTAAATTCTACGACCCTTATAGTCACGACTGATAGGACTCGATTCAAGACAGTGAGTGTAGTTAGCCCGTGAACAAACCACTCTGCTATAAATACCTTACCTGATCAGACAAATACTGTTACTTGATACGTGTCCAATGAACAGAATGGGCGAATTAACTCCGAGGCCAACTTTTTATGTGCCATGTCCTTTCAGGACTTAGGCGATCATGGCTCTCCACCTCCTCCTATCCCTTGCAGCTCTCAGCAAGTTCCTTTCCTCTGTTTCCTCTCCCAGACCACGTTCTGTCATCCACTTGCTTAAGTCCTCCAGGTATGTCACTCGCTGTTTTCTCTTGTCTCTCTTTCCCTCTATTCGACCCGTGAGTATCAGATTCTCTTGGTCTTCCTTCCTCATTATGTTTCCCAGAAATTTCAGCTGCCTCCTCCTTATATTAAGTATAAGCCTCTTCTTTGTTTTTCAACATCTCCAAGACCTCACCGTTGCTCACACGCTTGATCCATGATATCCTTTAAGTTCCCGTAATTAACTTGCCTTATCAGGAAGTCACAACAAAACGATATTATCCCCTCATTGTGAACATTGACATATTTGCTAGTTAAACACGTTGTACTGAAATGGGTGCTTCTGTTGGATTTTTGCATCGAACATTTAATATTCTACTTATTTGCGAGACTTTCATGCCAACCAGAACACCATGAACACATCAAGATCTTTTAAAACGGCGTCATCAAGATGAAGTTTCTTTCTTTTTTTCTGTTTCTTTTGATTTTGAAAGTTTTAATGTCTTGGAAGTGTTTTAACAAGGGTAAAAAAATGCGTCTCCAAAATCCGAAGGCGCATTGGGATAGCGAAAGATGCCTTCCAGAAACCAAGAAAAGCACCAAGAAAAGCACCAAGAAAAGCACCAAGAAACAGGAAAACTTCGTTAGAAACAACAAAAAGAGTATAGAACAGTTATGTAATGTCAGTCTTCGTGTATGACAATAAATGCTGGACAATCGCCTCACAGATGAACAAGAGACTTGAAGCAACACAAAGAAATGAGTGTGTAACATCTTTCTATATGGCAATGAATGCTGGACAATCTCCACACAGATGAATAAGAGACATGAATCAACAGAAAAAAGAAAAGTATACTGAACTGTTATGTAATATCAGTCTTCCTATATTTTCCTGCAATAGTCACTATTGACTATAGCATACTTTTAATGTAATAGTCACTATTGACTATAGCATAATTTTCCTGCAATAGTCAATTAGTATACTTAATCTAGGTTAAGTGTTTTTATTGCGTTCATTATGTACTATTTTCTCTTTCACTCAGACAATCTTTACAACTTCAGTTGGCTACCCACTTTCCTTCTTGTGAAATTGAGCCGGTCAATTTCAATATTATGTGCGAAGTACAATATATCTTGTCATCAATTTTCTTGTCCTCCTGTCCGGCGCCTGCAATTCCTCTTTCTTCCAGTTAACGTTTTATAAAATTCCGATTTTAAAGTATCATAGTTTTCCTGATTTTCTTCTTCTTTGTCAATTACTCTATTGTCTCCGGGACATGCAATATCTATGATGATGCATGTCTTTTCTTTTTATCTAAAACCATCATATCTGGTTTTCTGCGGAATGCTTTTTATTAATCATCTGAGAGACACCTTCCTACACCCCCCACATCTTTCAACTTTCCATGCTAACCTCCAGGTGACTGACTCGTTGCGCCTTCTTCGGCTAGCATTCTCAGGCTAGCATTCTCAGGCTAGCATTCTCGGCTGACATGAAATTAAAAGACTATATTAAATCCATTGTTAGATCAGCTGCTAAAAAAGTTGGTTCACAATGTCGTGCTAAACAAAATTTATCTCCAGAATCAATCTTACATAACTATAAGTCTACAATTCGCCCATGCTTAGAATATTGCTACCAGATATGGTTCGGTGGTCCTGTTGTACATTTTAGAGATTCTTGATAAAATCCAAAGAATCAGCAATGGTCCTGACTTAATGTCTCGGCTTCAGTCACTTCCCTACTGCTGAAAAGTTGACTCTGTCTTTTTTGTAAATACTTTGATGGTAATTGTTCGAATGAGCTCTTCGCTATAGTCCTTAAACTTTATGAATTTAAGCGCAATACTAGACTGGCGACGACGTCTTATCATTTTACAGTTGACCTGCCTAGATATAACCGTAAGTTCTATGCTAACAGTTTCTTCACCCGCTTCTTCCGGCTCAGTGATTTCCAGTCAACTTTAATCGACAAAAATTTAATATCACTCGCTATCTGTTGTCTTCCTGATTAGACTTTTATTGTTCTCGCTCCTTAATAATGTTTCTGTTTTCTAATTCTTCCAGATCCAGAACTGTTGTTCATGATGACGGACATTTGGATAGAGTAAACAAAATGGCTGCCTTTATACACGACGGATTGAATATTCTACGTCTTCTGATTGGTTAACCTTCTATTGGTGGACTATAAAGTGAGTCAAATCATTTGGGCTAGTTTATTTAGTTAATATATATATATATATATATATATATATATATATATATATATATATATATATAAAGCTGCAACAGTAATCCCTTGTGTATTAGTGGCTTTATTGCCTTGCTTAGGGAGAATTTGATTAAAAAATACTCCTTGGTCACACTGGATCATGACCCACAACATTTTGTAATTGTCATTTTCAGTGACACCTAGTGGAATTTGTCTTTACCATATTCCCGCACACTCCTATCTATAATTACCCATAATGCTTAATGTAACATCCTTATAACAGTACATTGACATTTTTTGTATTTTGTATGTGCTAACTTTGTGTCTTCATTGACATCATGTCACACTGATCCTTCTTTAACTCTACACCCTTGTGCAAATTAATTATACAGGAAGATGGGGAGGGCCATGATCACCTACACCCTTGTACAAATTAATTGAAACAAAACGAATAATTCTGTTATTATTTACTTTTTTCACGTATTTTTCCAATGAAACATGCCCCAGTACACATGCAAGTACATTGTATATCCATTCCACGAAGTCGTTCCTTGCAGATTGACCACAGCTTCTCGATTGGATTTAAATCAGGAGAGTTTCCAGGCCAAGCAATCGTACTTTGATTTGTTCACTGCTAAGGCTTGTCAGTGTGTTCGGGCAGCGTTACAACTTTCGTACGCTTCCTTGGAGTAATGTCCATCGCAGACAATGGCCGTAGGACAACTAATCGACAGTTGAGACAATAATATCTAGGCTTGATGAAAACCTGATGCAATCACGGATGAAGCAATATTTTTCAAAGCCAAACAAATTTCATCATACACCCCGAAACTAGATTCATATTACTGCACACCACTGCAAATGACCTAATCTGAGGAAAAAATAGAAATCGATTACACCCTGTCACACCAGTGGGTATAAAACTGGCCATGTGGCGAAAGAAAGGAAACTAAAACGTTTGTTTCAATTAATTTGCACAAGGGTGTATATGTCATAGACTTATCATTTTTAGTTGTATGGTCCATTTACGCTTAACAAAATTTGTTCACAATAAACAATGTTAAAACAAATACTCAAAAACAAATAAAGAAAATAATTCAAAATTTAAATGTTTGTTTCTACTTTAGAAAAGAAAGACGCCGCCCTGTCAGCAGGGGCTTCCGAATATGCCGATTTCAACTCTGCAGAGGTGTAAGACGCCCCTAAAATGAGACGTCCTGGGTAAGCTAAATACTACATGCGCGTCCTGGCTAAGACGATAATCTATATCCGATAGCAAGGTGCGTGGATCCACCTCTTAACTGCGTGTGTTCCCAGGTCTACCTTGAACCGGTGTGGTAGCACCTGTTAGGGTCCAAACTATGGGCAAATATTTGACCCTAAACTGGGGTCAAGTGTAAAGTGTAAAAATAGATTTTAATACCGTCGGTGCATTTTTTGTAAAAGCTTATGATCAGCAATACATTTTTGAAGAAAAAAATATTAGCAGTAATATATTTTTGAAGAAAAAAATATTACCAGCAATATATTTTTGAAGAAAAAAATATTACCAGCAATACATTTTTGAACAAAAATATTACCAGCAATAAAAATCTTGTCAGCATTAAATAACCCATTGAGATGTTGATATGCCGTAAAACAAAAAAAACAAACCAATATATACTGAGATAGATAGATAGATAGATAGATAGATAGATAGATAGATAAAAAAAATATTACCAGCAATAAAAATCTTGTCAGCATTAAATAACCCATTGTGGTTGATATGTCGTAAAACAAAACAAACCAAACCAATATATGCTGAGATAGATAGATAGATAGATAGATAAAAAATATTACCAGCAATAAAAATCTTGTCGGCATTAAATAAAACCCATTGAGGTGTTGATATGCCGTAAAACAAAACAAAGAATGTCTTCGCGATGGATGGGTTAGGTTTTGCTTTCAGAAACGAATCGCTTGCGTATTATTTCCCCGTTTCTTGAAACAGCTACCAGGGGCGGGGCATCGTGGTCTGCTACCCGAAAAAGTGGTAAATATTTGTCCTCGTCGCTTTTTCTATATTGCTTTCTTGGCCGATGACACCAAATCTGTCGTCCGAAGGAAAGGTGGGGCTGGGGCCTGGTAAGAATGTCGGTGAGAAGTGCGAAGATATGGTGATAAAAAGATATCCATCAACGGGTCATTAGTGTCCAGCTGTTGCTGGCCTTTGGTCAAAGGTGTTGAAGCCTGAGTGGAAAGGCATTTTTTGGATGGGACGGGAATACAGAGCCACTGGGATGCGAGCAAAACCGATATGTGTCATAAAGAAAAGGTTTTAAGGGAATATACGTGAGCAGAGGGAAGGCGTTACTGTCATCCGCCAGTTGTCCATTCTCATCAGTTAGAAATCGTACAGGGCTAACCCAATGTTGTATCGGTACCGGTGCCCGCATACGAAATCTAGGCTTCCGATGCGCGGCAGCCAACGAAAGATAAAATATTATTATCGAAACTACTGCACTTTTTCTTTCTTTTTAAATAGTTGTAAAATGTCAGTAAATGCTAGATAGTTTTCACTCGAATAAATAAGAAATCTGAAACGACAGATAAGGCAAGGCGATAATGCCACTAAGACGCAATGTATTACTGGGAGGGAAAGAGAATGAGAAGACATTAGAAAGAATCAGACGCCCCCCCCCAAAAGTAGACAAAGGAACCTTTGCCTATTTTGGGGGGTTTCCGACTCTTTTAGATAAAGAACCTTTATTCCTGTTCCAAAAACTGGGGAGGAATGTGAACCGGACCATAGGCGAACATTTCCACTCCTAATTAAAAAAAAAAAAATAAATAGTAAATAAAATGTCTAAGTTTAGGTGTATGCATGAAAAGTAGGCCTTAGATGGAACCTCAAACCCAATCCTAAACAAGAAACAAGGGATTAACCTCTACTCCGGGCCAAATGACCAAGAAGGAGTGTGACCCGGGCGATAGGCGTACGTATCTACTCCCATTGAAGAATAAATAAATAAAATGTAAGTAAAATGTCATCGTTTAGGCGGACACGTTAGAAGTATAGAGATGAAGTAGACATTAGAAGCAGAAACCCAATCCTAAACAGGAAAGAGGACATAGATCTCTACACCCGTTCAAAAACCAGCGAGGAGTGTGAACCGGACGATAGGTGAAGCTGTCTAATCCCAAGGAGAAGCGCATTTGTTAACTAATGAGGAATAAACAGAATCGTTTTTAGTAGTTTTTTTTTAATGAATTTCAAATGTGTTTAATATGTTTTTAATATGTTATTAATCTTTTCTATAGAAGGTTTGTTTAATTTTTATTATTATTTAATTTGTAATATTGTATTACTTGTTTACAAAAGAGGTATACCGTATGTCCTCGCGTATCCTGCGACTTTTGAAGACCTAATTTTGAAGTTAATTTTAAATAATCGCATCATACACGAGATATAAAATTAGTGTATGTACTGCTGGCACGGTGGAGTAATGGATAGCGGTTCGGATTGAGGAATCGGAGAGTCGAATTCCAATCGAATCCATTACATTCACTTAAGTGCTAATACTCTTGGGAAAAGTATAAATCCTCTCAGCTATGGATAAATAGTAGGACAGACCGGGTTCTATAGCCTTGGGAAAAAAATCTATCTTATCAGTCATGTATCGAAAGATACATGATCGCCTAAGCGTGTATCACGCATGGCACATAACTGACTGCTGGCTAGGCTGTTGACCAAACCATATATCCATTTACTTTTGTCAAATTAAGTCTTCAAAAGTCGTCTGATATACGAGTGTATACGGTAATTTTTGTTTTAAATATAAATATATTTATTAGATTTTTTCCGATAACAATTAACATTAAAACGATTATTCAATTCATAATCTATTGATATTCGAACGTCCTCTGAAACATGCGGGGAAATCAATCCCATCTTGGTACGGGAGATCAATCAGTTTTGAGGTCCACAGTTGTAGAGGCATTTCCAAATTTTGATAGGAATCTGAAACGACAGATAAGGCGATAATGCCACTAAGACGCAATGTATTACTGGGAGGGAAAAAGAATGAGAAGACATTAGAAAGAACCGGAAACCGCCCCAAAATAGACAAGGGATAAACCTTTACTCCTGTTTCAAAAACTGGGGAGGAGTGTGAACCTGACGATAGGCGGAACTTTCCACTCCTAATGATGAAAAAAATAAATAGTAAATAAAATTTCAGAGTTTAGGTGTATGCATTAGAAGTAGGCCTCTCGGAGCACGTAAGCTCCTCTTGATGAATATTTTGTGCAATAGGGTTACGTGGATGAAGAAAGGGTCTGAAAAAATGCAGGAAAGTTAGTGCTAACTCGAAAGCAAGAAAACTGATGTATACTTGAATATATAAGTGTAGAGAAATGATTTCCTAGCCAACTGTCTTACTACAACGCACTTGTAAAGATATTTAGGCACACTTAGTACGAAACTGGGGAGGCACGGTAGAGTAATGATAGTGGCTCGGATTGAGGAATCCGAGAGCCGGGTTCGAATTCCAGACGGATCCATTACATTCACTTAAGCTAATGCCATTGGGAAAGGTATGAATCCTCTTTTTCTCCCTCCAGCTATGGGTAAAATAGCAGAACAGACTGGGTTTCTATAACCATAGGTGGCAACCAGTATAGGAGAAGGAAACACATTGAATTCAAAAGCGGCTTGGTGAGGGTTGATCTCCGCCAGGCTATCTTGCCCAAGAAAACCGCTTCTACTGTGGCTGCTGTACACTGGATAAAAAAAAATGTCCGAAACTGAGCCTACAGGCACTCAGCTCAGGCTATCTTATGGACTTATTACCCGTCCACAAACCTAACACTGAAAATGGAATCAAGCATCATCTTCAAATATATTTAACAGTTATATACAGTGTGTGTGTGTAGGAGGGGGTAATAAATATTCGTACACCATGAAATTTTTTAATTAACGTAGTTATAACTTATGAAAAAATTTAAAATCCATACAATATTTCTACACCATTGCATAATGCTACGATATGAAAGAAAAAACATTATAAAACTTTGTTATAAATGAAATTATATGTTATTTATAAAATTTTGAGATGAAAAAAGTACTCGTACCAAAATGTCTTTAATATCAAAAGTCTTAAAATTACCTTTATTTACACAATTCTTTGTAAGATTTTGCTAAGTTCTTCCAATTATCTTATTACCGGAATCATCTTGAAGATTCCGCAATTCATTTCTTATATAACGTTACCTCCGCACACAAATCATACACAATAAATGTCATTAGGGGTGGCGGGGAAGCAAGGAAATATCAAATTCGCAAAAAGAATTGATCATCAAACATTTGAAGGAACACAAAAACCTTTAGGAAAATGGCAAATATCCTGAATATACCATTTACTATTATTAGTTCCGTTATTATAAAAAGATGAAGACTGTTGAGAACAAATCAAGATCTGGTGCACCATGCAAGATTTCTACCAGATCAATGAGAAGAAATATTCAAGAAAATCCAATGACTACTCGGGGGAAATACAGAAAGAATTAAAGACATCAGATATTATTGTTACGAAGCGAACAATAAGTAATAAAATTCTGTTGCTGTTGAATTGGGTCAGGTGTATGCTACAAAGTATTAAATAGGTAATTTTGTACGAATACTTTTTTCGCCTCCAATTTCATATAATTCTATTAATATAACAAATTTTCTGATATTTTTTGCATATTGAAACATTATGCCATGGTATGCACATATTGTATGGATTATAAAATTATTTTATAAAATCTATGTTAAATAAAGAAATTTATGGTGTACGAATATTTATTTCCCTCTTCCCACTGTATGTACATTATTATAAATTTCAGTTTAAACATTTCCATTTTGAAATATAAGCTTGCTCTTTTGCTGTGTACCTTATTTAATCTAAGGACTCGCCTGTGCGACACGGCGCAGTTTGGGAATCGATAGGGTAAAATTTGAACGCTTATTTGTGGAGTAATAGCTCGCAGGCTTATCTCTAAGATTATCTCTAAGTCGGGGTTTGATCCTCAGTTTAGAGATCTTTCGGCCTTCTCTCGAAATTCTGTACACGTAATAAATATCTATAAGATGGTTTTCGGACAAATCAGTTTGGCAGGTCGTTTACTTACATTAGTGAAATTAGTGAGAGCCTTACACACACACACACACACACACACACACACACACACACACACACACACACACACACACACACACACACACAAAAATATTTATTTATATATGAAGAGAGACTCATTCTGGAGAATTCTCGTCGGAGGATCCTTCGATATTCGCAATTCATACTTCTCATTTGCCGACCGGAGAATATAAAAACAAACTGAACATTGAAAAAAAAAGCAACGTGAATATGACGAAAATAATCTAGTTAAAATGTTTAAATAAAATGCTTCGTCCGAGATATTCACAAAATAGTTTAACGGCATATCGACACCTTATGTGTCATTTAATGCAGAAATTAAATTTTCCTCGGGGCCTTGTTAATTTTTTTATTTTTTTACAAATATCTAAAGCTACCTAAAACAGGGTTTTCCACTGTTGCCTCTAGGAATTGAATTCAAGGTCCAATTTTATATCTACATACGCTCTATCCCTGATACTGAGCACTTTAACCCATAAATATCGCATACATTAAAAATACATTTTACCATATATATATATGTGTGTGTGTGTGTGTGTGTGCGCACGCGCGCGTGTGTGTGTATTTAGGCAACAAATTCTCGTTTAGGCATGTCTGATTAAATAAATTACAAATATTATGTCTGCTTATTTTTAGCATAATCCTTTCATATTCATTAATATTTTTCTGAGGCAAGAAATGCACTGTAACGGGGAAAACCACTTTTATTTCCGAAGTACTTTCTATCTGTTTCTGAAATTATCTTATATATTTATATATATATATATATATGTGTGTGTGTGTGTGTGTGTGTGTGTGTGTGTGTGTGTGTGTGTGTGATAATTTAATTGAACAATAAAAAATATTGAAAAATTAAAAAAAAAATTAATCTTCCAGACACACTGGGTTGTATATTAATATTTTTTTGTTTTATTATTTCAATTAGATTTCTTGACTAGTTTCGGCCAGCATGGTCATCATCAGGAGAAAAAAAAATCCTGCTTATTAATAACAGTGAACTACAGGAGTGAATGACTGTTTATGAAGAAAATGAACTTCATCTGTAGTTTTCATTTGTTTTTTTTTTATCGTTAATTTTGTCAGGCCTTGTGTTGGTCAAATTGTTATCAAGATAGAGATTGGATTCACACGACTCTGAATTCCTTTGGTCATTTTGATATATATATATATATATATATATATAGAGAGAGAGAGAGAAAAAGAGAGAGAGGAGAGAGAGAGGGGGCGTGTGGTTTACGTGTTGTTAAATTAGGAAC